TGAAATCTGATTCATTCGCATCCGACACACGCCTAGCCGAACTCTCTCCTCTCTCTCTCTCTCTCTCCTCTCTCTCTCGCTCTCACCCACTCTCTCTCTCTCGCTATCTCTGCCAGGTTCCCCTCGCGCATGCGCATCAGAGGCAGCACTCAGTCTCCATCAGGCGATGGATCCATATCGTTTGTTTCTGCCGACGCACATCGTCACGTGTTAGCATGCCGACACATAGCTGCCGACCGCGCGCATGCGCACACGCCACATGTAGCCTCCCAGCATACATTCGTTTGTCATGTGTTAGCGTGTCGATATTACATGGCAGCAACGTTACATAACCTCACAGAGCTTCCCTTGCAGTTATGAGAACGGCAATGCTGCCGATGCCGCCGCTGGTGGGTGGAAGAAAATAGAAGGGGAATGATGCGAGGGAGGAGAATGAGGGGAAGAAGGAGGATGAGGGGAGGAAGGAGCATGAGGGTAAGAAGGAGGATGAGGGAAAGAGGGAGAGAGCAGAGTGAGAGAAAGAGAGAGAGAGATAGATAGAGTGGAAGAAAGAGGGAGAGAGACAGAGAGAGAGAGAGAGAGAGAGAGAGAGAGAGAGAGAGAGAGAGAGAGAGAGAGAGAGAGAGAGAGAGAGAATATTATGTATATGATGCATGTATAATTGTTATAATTGTTAATTTATGTGTATTCTGTAACGAAGCTTATATATGCACATCTGTAGCTGTAGCGGTCTTCCAATATTGTGTAGACAAACATTTTTGAAATTTCTTATGATCACGTATACGTGTTTATACATTCGCTCACTGTAATGCTCAAAACAGTAACACTAAAGGGCAGAGTGTATGCTCATATTGCACAGCTCTCTATTCTATGCGTTACAAACTTCTTCCTCTCTGTTGGGCTTACCTCCAGTTTACTCCTTTAGTCTCGTTTCCAGACAAAGGTTACAGGCACCGGTGAGCAGGGTGGTGACGATACGCATCTGCTGACCCCTGAGGTGACGGTGAAGTCACAGTCGGCTCCGACGACCCCATCGACAGACGAAAAGATGGAACTGAAATAGAAGGTTGGCGTGGCGGTCTTCGAACAGCTTTCGCGTCGATGATCGTGGATGTTCCGGCAACCCTCTAGCATTCAAGGGCACAATACGTTCGCTGCGGTCACCGCGTTGACTTACGTACGTGGGTACCGCTGCCGTTATGCGCCGTTTGTAAGAGCCTTGAGGTTTAGGAATAGTCATGATATGATATACGGTTATATATATATATATGCTCACCGGTGGCTTTAAATTCCATGTGGTGGCGGTATGGAAGTTGACTAAAGCTTTCAAGAATTATTACATTATTGCCCTGCAATGTACTATGTGGCATCAATTCTGCATCTGACACAGCTACCTTGTTGCACCCGTGCCTACCTAGCAGCATGGCAGATATGCTTCCGATAAATAGCAATTGCTTGTGATTGATATCGATGTTGATAATGATTAATATGCCATGAAGAAGATAGGTTCCAAGTAAGGGTAGAAGCGTAGGTTCAAAGTAACTTACATTTAGCCTTTGGATCTATTTATTGGAAAGAGTGGACTCATGCACCCACAGTAAGCAGTCTTGTACCAAATTTTATTTTTGCGCATTGTAACTAGCTATCCGTGGCGTAGTATGGTAAACTATTGCCTTTAAAATGTTGTATCCATATATCTGGCTAAAATCAATATCAAACCATACAGTAAACAATATATACCGGGAATTGAAAACTCATTGGTTAGCTAGGTACTTTGTATTACAGTGACTGTGAGATAACGTGCGTATCATCTTCTGACCACGACATGATATAGCTGTGGCATATCAAATCATTTTAGCAATAGCAGTTAGTCAAGTGCAGTAATTAGTAAGAGAGTGTTGGGAGTGCATGAGTTCAACTCCCTCCCTAGAAGGGTCAGTGTAGTTACAGCATTGTTTGAATGCTGGAACATATTTGTCTGTTTTTTCGTCATTTCTCTTTTGTTTCAACTAGGGCCTGGTAATGAATTTTTGTTATATTTATGAGTGTTATAAGATTATAATGGTTAAAGAAAAATGTGTGTATTATTAATGTAGATGTGTCAGTGTTTGAGGTGCTATTCATCCCTGATATGTACCCCAAATAATTGTCATTGATAAGAATGCTAAATGATAAAATTTATACATATATGAGACACGTGCACACTGCTGCGAGGGATTCTTGCAAACGATTGACCAGAGTATGACACTTTCCTGCTATTGCAAACGTGCAATGCTTTTTTGATGCATGCACATGCACACACTCGCACATGCATAGACATGCACAACCACACGCAGACACACGCACAGGCACACACACATACATACCCCCCCACACACACAAACACGCACAACTACGAATACATATGTACTGTGTACGGTTCCATTGAAAACAATTAAAGGTCGCCTGAATTTATTATTTTATGTTACAGACAACGTCATTATTTCTGTCGTTTTTTACGTCGAATTTTTACGTCGTTATTGATGAAAACCCATTCAGTGTATTCACAGGAGTAGGCCTATAGCTTGTAGTCTAGCCATCCATTGCGATTTCGGGAATACCTATACTAATTAGTAGTAGCAGTATCAATAACTAGGAAATCACTAGGGTGTGTAAAATTTAATCCTGAATAGTTTCCGGTGTTAATGCAGTATAGGCAATTAGTTCAAACAATTTGGAATTATGGTTTAGACACTATAGGAACTTTTCTTCAGTATCATTGTGAATAATCTGGTAGCAGTATATCAAATTATGAACCCATAGACCATTATCTAACAGACATTTGTCTATTAAATTTTAAGCTATAACATTTAGGCTGCATTTTATCAGAGCAATTGGTTTCATCAATGCATTAATAGTAACAATAAACTATTTTATTGTAATGTATTTCGCAATGTTATTTCTGGCCGGGAAGATAAGCGAGTATACTTGCTTCCACCTACATATATATATACGCCTAGGGAGAGCCCGAAACGGGCATTACACAGAATAATAATGTAGTACAAATATCTATCGCTATAAAGTTCATAGATCATCTTTTGTTCAAATTCTTTAGTCTTCGTTCACTTTTTCTTTCATACTGTTTGATTCTCTTTATGTTGAAGCATTCACAAGTTGTATGCACAAGACCTCTCCACTCCTGTCTATAGTCCTCCTACATAATAGGTACATATATTCCATTTGATAATGTGCATCATATCGCGCTGCAACAGTGTTAAGGAAGATGGCAAGATGAAAACTAGCTTCCCATTGCCAAATAGCCCTTATCATGATATAATGATATATATGAAATCAAAAAAATAAAATAAAGGTAGTCTGTGCAGACTGCATACGGCTGTAAATTCCTGGTTCTTAGCTAAGAAAACAATGATTATTCCATAGTTGGAATGTGTATTAAACTGTTTATTGCCTTTAGGAAATTATCATTTGAAATCAACAGTGTAAATGGAAACGAGCTGCCTACCATAGATGTAACAACAAAACATTTAATCAGTACACTAAATTATTAAAAAGCATTAACATTTGCATATACCTGGCTAGTATTTGTTCCACACAATAATTTCCAGTGACTTTCGACTTTAGGATTTTCGTAGTACAGTGTATCTTGTTTATTTCAATGTTATACTAACTGTGTAAATAAGTTAGTATATATATATATATATATATATATATATATATATATTATTGGGTTATATACTGTGTGTGGATCAGCACAGAACATGCTTATGTACAAAATGATAACTTTTAGTAAAAGAGCAAAGCAGATTTATAAGGTATATTTATATGGATTGTTCTCACAATCGTTACAACTTACTGAAACCAATTAAATTCGAATTTGTATACATACAAGTACATATAACTTGCTGCATAATTCTCTAAGAGGGTACAGACTGCCACTCATGTGATCACGCACGCACGCACCCACATACAATACACAGTGCAATACAAGTACAACGACAACGGGATCAATCGATGAAACAAAGCCACATACAAAAAAGACGATAATTTTAGACTTATAAAAATTCTATTATTAATCATCACTGCAACATACACCCAATTCACCAGTTCGTATTACATCACATCTATGCATGCATTGCAGCCAATCTGCACAGGAAGGTTGTGAAACTGCCAAGGCTTGGCTCTGGACTAGGTCTCCGAGTCTTGTGCCTCTGTTTTGTCTTGTTTCAGCATCTATACACTCACCTATAAAATGATTTATGATTTTAAAGCCTTAGTTATGTGAAAAGTACATCAAAGTATATCACGAGCAACAGCACCTTCTCTTCTAGGAATGTTTTGCATATAACATTATATACATTTCCCATGTAGAATGTTTATATTTTCCATATTTTCCACCACGAGCTTGGTTATTATGTTCCAGGTCTTTCTTGCTGCAGTGCATTTCACACAGCAGGCATAGTTAGGTTACGACCTGGGTTAGTATGCGGTTGGCGTATATGAACTTCAGCACTAACACGAGCTGATGCACAGTAGTTACAACCGCTACTTCCCACTGCTGTTTAAATTTTATCTTTCAATTGAGATTTCTTTGCAGAGCGATAACATTAAGCAATAGGAAATTAGCAAAGAATGTCAAATTTATATCTGTGCCTAGTTAACTTGAATAGTGAGAATAGCAAATGTATGTGTGGCTAGTTACCATGGTGAGCAAGAATAACAATGTATTTGTGGGTAGTTAAAAGTACGACAGAATAGCTGAAATCTTTGGCAGGAGTATATTAGGTCTGAGACAGTAACTTGTTACTAGTGCTGCTTCTAACATTTGATAGCACTTTGTTAGCTTGATAGCAATATTGGTTATAATAAATCTATTAAAATTTTGGCACGGAACCTAGATACACCTATACATATTAAAAATCAGCGACTTGAAAGGAGCAGTAACATAATGAAATCTTTCTATGAAGCTCTATCATTTATGAATATAACCCACTCTCTTGTTACCGTTTAGATGCAATGCTTCCAAGGAGTCTGTTGCCAAAGAAGAAGGTGATACCACCAACAATGGTGAGATACTTCATTGTGTCAAACATGTTCAGCTGAATCCAGAAATAATAGTACAGGCCAAAGATACCTGTTGGGAATGCAAACAAAAACATCAACTAATTTTAATCCAACAAATTCCAGATACTTTACCAATAACTACAATTCATGTACAGTAAAACTCGCATAAGTCGACACTTTTGGGACCAGCATATTTGTGCCGAAAATGACGACGTACATTTTGTCGTCTTATACGTAGGGCTCCCCTCCCAGGCGCCCGTCACCCCTACGCAGTCATAAACATACTCCACACACGTCGTCAGTTCGCGCCACATACATAGCAGACATGAAACAATCGGGTCCGTACATCAATCGACACCGCTGCTGGCAATCACGCACGCACTAGCGGCAAGCGCGGCACACGCTGGCTATCTGTAACACCCGCTGTTGATTACACGTTTGGACATTGCAGGACATTTGCGGTGCACGTCTCCCAAATTTTCTTGAAACACGAAATTCCGGGATGCCGCGCTCTGGAACGAACTAGTTAGTATAGCAGGATTTTCAGGGAGTCACACGGACTCCTGCATATGTCAAATCAGGGAGTCTGGCAGTAAATCAGGGAGCATTTGACTCCGGACTCACGTTAACTTCGCACCCTGCATTAAGATGCATACACTGGGGAATCTGGGGGATGTTTCTCGCATGTCCCCTAGACCGTACACCGCGCGCGCCATCGGCATTTCTGATGACGACTTACAGATGGGAAATTACTGTTGTTTGTATTACATGGGACCTGTCTGAGGTCGTCGACTTGTACATAATAACGACCTAGGCGGGGCTATTCCAATGGATTTACTATGAGAGAAAATTGGGACTTTGACTTCCATGACGACTTATGCGAATTTACGAGTTAGACGATGACGAATTATGCGAGTTTTACTGTACTAATTTTACAAGCACAAAAGGGAGGTCTTTCAATACATTAATTAACTGCCCTACTATCCACTAATAAATTATATGAAAAAAATGTTCAAACAGGAACAGGCAGTTATTTTCATAAAACAATAATTTCCTTTATTTTTTGCCTGTATAAAAAAACAGAGGAAAAACAAACATGTTGGATAAAACGCTACAATGACAATTCTTGTCTTAATTTTGTGCATGAAGATAGATACTTACAAGTTAAGCCCAGATGGAATCCCAGAGCACTTGGTGAGAACGGGAAGTTGCCCATATTTACGCCAATCTTGAACCACTGGAAGAACACAATGCATAAAATGTCAATGCACACCAGTAACTTAAGGATGCACTCACAGGGGTCGAAATTAGATTTTTATTATGGTGTCCATTCGGGATACCAGGTATTGAAATCTGGTATCCCCCCCAAAGATCCGGTATCCCATTTTTTGGATAGTAATTTCAACAATTGTTTGCCTTCAAAATTCTCATCGCTCGCTTTCATTTTACATACGCCTCCACAGTACACTACAGACGTATTGTCTGGAAGCATTGTCTGGTTCGCTTGATACAATGTATACACATCACATTTATGATCAACATAAGCTTCTTGCAAATATGCTATGCCTGCTGTATAACGCTAGTGTGGCGTAAGGGTGCCTTGAGCCCGCTCAGATCGCGCGCACTCGCTCAGATGCGCTGCCGTATAAAGTTGATAACTCAACAACCACGATCCCGATTTTGGCGATTTTTTTTTACTATCCCAGTGGGATACAAAGTATTGAAATCTGTTATCCAACACAAGAATCTACTATCCCGCGGATTTAGGGATACTGCTAATTTCGACCCCTGAGCCTCAAGCTTTTGCATGGGTATTGCTCTAATAATAATATGTTCATTGATCAATGAATCAAATCAATCATGTTTTTTTAATAGATAAGATGTATCTCTATGCTCAAGCTGAAATTTGTTATTAAATTTCCAGCACCTAATTATGTGACAACACAAATTTTTTGAACTTATCGCGCATTAGGATTCGTCTTGCCTGGATGCCTGGATTTAGTCCATGGCACCGATAAATTCGGCTTAGTGAGTGGAGCCGGAACCAGTGTTCTATCATTGCTCGCCATTAACATTACACACTAATGGATCTCAAATAGAAAGTTTGATGCCAATGTAAGCAGGCACATGCTGCATTTATAGTGATATACAGCCAGAGTTACTCAAGCTATCGGCCACGCACGCACAAACACACTCGATCAAGAGAAAACTCCTGGCCAAGGTGGAATTTATTTATTCATGTGTCTTACCATGATTAACAGAACGAGAACTGGCACCAAAACTAGTGCCGTGAATGCGTTGGAGATGATGCTTGGAGGTCGCTTCTCTGGCTCTCTAAACTGATGCTGAAACATTCAAGTGATCAACTTTGCAAATGCATATGTTATACAAATACTATCGATAGGTTTATTACTTGTATTTTTGCATTTTTAAAATGACTAGCAGTTTGTGTCAAGATTTAGTCAACAGCACAAAATCTATATGGGTTAGTGGAGGGGACAGGATACAGATCAATCTCAATATTAATTTTTAATGCAAACAATAACATTTGTAACATTAGTCATGCTAGTGATAAAGTAAACATTGTTTACTATACAATTAAGTTATACTATAATTGTGAACAGATACGCCCATAATATCAACATATCACAACAAACTATGAAATAAATGCAAATTACAAAGCTAAAACTATTGTCATGTTTTCACAATTCTGAGAACAATAATTATTTAAATCTGAGGAAACTAATATTTTTTTCAGTGAAAATTAATGCTTCATTGAACAGACCAGATATTTACCTTAATTTCTGGCTTCACTGCATATGGACTAGCAGTGCCATCATCATTATCTTTGCCCAAACCTTCTGGAAACTTAAGCTTGACCTCAGCCTGAAAGGTAACCAGTGTTCCATTGCTAACCCTGCTACATTATTTGACTGCATGTTGGTAATTCTGACACTTACTCATACGTACTTATACTCAATTAAAATACCATCAGTTCTCTTTATTATAAAAACATGAATAAACACAAAAATTGATTTGTCCAATACTAACACTCATCTATATTGGTGTTTTATACAATATTTGATTTCGCTTATTTATCGATTCTTGTAATTGAATTTGATCTATTAATTGAGCTTGATCAATACGTCTGAAACCAATCGAATTAATTAATGTTAGAATGATTTTTCCAATGAAAGCATTGATAACAAATATAAAATAGATCTATCCAGTAGTACGTACAATATTCCAGGTGAAAGGATTGGTAATGACAGCATCACCGATGATTAGCGACATCAAATATTGACCGGATACGCCACTGAATTCGGCTGCTTTCCCAGCTACATCCTATGAGAACATGTTCATGGAATAAGGATTTTTATTAATTACCTAATAAATGACAACTAATAAATAGTATTCTAATATGTTAAAATCTGCCATTACAACTAAGATGGTAGGTCAGTATGTTAATTGAAATATTACATCTTGGCTTAAAATACACGAATTTTTTTACCTTTCAATTCTATACATTAAACGATACATAACTGACATTCTGCCTGCCTCACACATTTACACATTAACACATAAGATTTACACATTTTAAATAATAAATATATATTTGTTAACTTTGTTCCAAGTCATTCTTGCTGCAGTACATTTATTCTGCAGGCATGGTAAAGCCACGACTTGGGCTTAGTGTGTGGTTGCCGTATATGGACGTCAGCATCACAAGCCGATGCACAGTAGAAACAACCCATACTCGTCACTAATATTATATAGACTGTGTTTGCTCTAGCTAGGTTAGCATCATATCACAATCTTCTCAACAAAAAATTCTTTGCAAATGCCTTTAATCATTACAATTATCTTTAATAATAAGTTGAGGTAGCCATTACACAATATGTAAATATATGTAGAACAAACCTGAATCATCAATACTAAACACATTTATGCAACAGTCTTCTGGTAATAATTAATCTTAATACTAATTCTACCCAATATGATAGCTTTACCAGGTCAAACTTGTACACATCCTTGGTGTCTGGCTCAGCTACATAGATGATCTCCTGTTTGGTGTTCTTGTTCGTAAACATCACAAACGCCTATACGCACAAACACAGCAACACAGCTTTATTAGTTAATTACTATGGAGAAGAACTACATCAAACATCATGGGTATCCCATGAATCTATGAACCATTTAGTATCCACAGGTGTCCATCCAATAAAGGAGCAACAATATACCTTGCTTTTTAGGAGTTTCACCCCGCAGAAAATCTTGGGTAAATCACCGTTATCAAGCTGATTTGGCATTGATATCAATTTAATGTGCATGCACGTCATTATTATAAATCCTTTTCAGCAACAGCTCAAATGTAACCAGGATATATCGAAGATAGTCATCCTCTTGTTGCATGGATAATTAATATTATGAATATAACACTACTTCTGTCACAAACACTGGCAGATGCATGCTTAATATAAATCACACACATTAAAAACCAATATTTGTAATGATTGCTTTAGCACAATTCGACACCCAGCTGGTACAGACATGCCAACTGGGCTCTAATGCAGTGCATAATAACAATGAAAAAATAACAATACCATAGCAAATAACCGACACTTGTTTGACATTGGGTAGAAAGGTTGATGCAAATGTCAGAATATTCAAGAACTAGTAAATGTGCCATATCAAGTGCTATAGTAAAAATTTGATTTACTTGAAAGAAATGCTAGAAGTAATGCCAGTGTTCTCTTTGCTCTCTGTTATTACCTGTTGCTCAGCATGCTCAATGTATACATTAGCAAACAGCATCTCACCTGGTGCACTTTCATCACTTCTTGAGTTAACTTGTCCTTCAGCATGAACTTCATGAGAAGCTTCTGGTGGTAGTCCGCCTCCATTACCGTGGCCACCTTGCTCGGGTAGTTGACCCTGTAGACAGACAGCAGGACAGTTTAAACGCATTCGAATTCTACTGAGATCGCTTATTAACTTATGATACTAGTATACACGAGTAAGCAAATGAAATCACTGTAAACATTATTTGTATGGTACAGTAACTCAATATTCATATTACAGCAATAGATATGTACTTATTGGCATGCAAGGAAAACCGTTTTTTAATTTGTTTGTCCACAAGATAAGACGTGACTCACTTATTTCCTTTGGGAGCAGTGGACTGATCCCTGTCCACCAACGACACTTCAGCGTCAGCAACCATGACAGCTGTGGTAACCTTTACTGAGACCTGTATGAAATACACTTTTAGCATCATAAACAAGTAGGTTTCTACATATTCTACACAACTATAGTATATTTCTAAAGCTTCATATTCAAATGTGAGTGCCTATGAAAAGCTCGGAATATCCGGCAATATCTCCCATCTCCCAACATTTACTGTTTAGAGAGGTGGGACAGATACCTCTCCATTTAAGATTTTGGTAGTTATATTAGGGCATGTGGTGTGAATATTCAGCAAATGTAAGGGTGGAGCAATCTATAAAGGTTACGAATAACAACAGGGTTAATAGCACATGAATAACTGTGAGCACTGTGACAACTGAATCTATTCCTATACATACTTTCAGATAAATATTTGTGCCATTGTATTGTTGTCCATATTTAGTCCACTACACCCATGCATATTTGGCTAGTGGGTGGAGTAGGAACCAATACTCTAGCATTGCTTTTAGTTAAGAAGCATATATAAATGAAACTCAATATTAAATTGCAATGCATATACTATACATACCCCAAGTTGCCAGACAAAACAAAGCAGCCATCGCAGACACACATCTAACTGATATACTGGACTGACAGTCACATGCAATATTAACCACAGAAAAGGTTAAAAAGAAGATGAAAGAAGACCTATCACCATACCAGGGCATCTGATGTTGATAGCAGACGCTTCTCATTCACGTCGCCAGAAGTGACGTCGATAGCAATCTCATAGAATCCCCGGCTTGGCTTTGCCTCAGTCATCAAATTGAATTCGTAAAGCGTTCTGCAACAAGAAGAATCCATACACCGGTCATCAGTAGAACTAGAAGATATAAGAATAATGCATAGCTTACCGTGCACCATACCAATACAAAACTAGAAAAAGGCACGCACGCACGCACGCACGCACGCACGCACGCACACACACGAGCCAATAACAATACTCTCACGCTACACTTCGTGCGGAGGATAATAAGATCAGTCAGTCCTCAGAGACCTTTCCAAACGTCAATGTCAGAGTCACTCGTAGTACTCCTCCTGCTAGTTTTCGACATCGAATCATGGGTATACAGCTATCGCGCAGACCTCAACACGTATTGCATGCACACGAGCACTTACTGATCGCCCCCAGGCACTGGCTTCAAAGGACGCTTGCTGAGCACCACTGCGCTGTCGTCAAGACGCGTTGCCTTTTCGGCGACGACGTTTAACTTTCCCAGGGATTCGCCGAGCAGGTTGGAGACCTGCACAGTGACAGTTGGACTCTCCAGCGAAACAGCTGTCTGGCCGGCCATCGTCACCGCTATTGGAATGTGGAACTTGTTGTTCGTGAACGTCTTCAGTGCTCTCAGAACTAGATACGCACTGCGGTAGTTAGCCGTGTGCTTTCGATGCACAAAGTAGTTTGCAAACTTCATTGCTTGGTTCTGGATGACAGAAAGGGGGAAAACATATGAGATTATGCATATAGAAACTGTGCTCACATATCATTACAAAAATACTACAAGTGCAACATTGCAGACAATTCAAGGCAAGCCAATCTTCACTGTTGGGTAAAAAATATCTTCTAGTACTTACTGCACTGATAGGTGGTGGCTTGTTTAATGTTTCTGCTAGTTGATAGGCTCCAATTGCCACCAATGCCGTTGTTCCAGCCCCTTGCTCAAACTAATACAAGCAGCAAGTGTTAGCTATTTATACAATTATGGATCGCAGAATGAAAATCGCAACAGCTACAAATGGCCAAATAAATGGTAATTAGATAACAACACAGACTTCATGACATAAAAATACAATTAAGAATTGAAACTAAAAACAACTTTATTATGTACAGTACTAGTAATGGAAAATTTTAGAGATGGGGACACGGGAGGGAGAGAGGGAGGGAGGGGGGGGGGGAGGGAGGGAGAGAGGGAGACAGAGAGAGAGAGAGAGAGAGAGAGAGAGAGAGAGGGGGAGAGAGAGAGAGGGAGAGAGAGAGAGAGACCAGAGTAAAAGAATGAGATAGATAGCAATCATATATGCAAAAAACACTATTTTATTGTCACCTGTAAATATTTTCCATCAACCTCATCTGCCTGCACAATTGCATCTTCTATTCTATCAAAGAAGGTGTCCACATTTCCACTGAGCATGGCTGCTATGTGAAATGAGTAGCCAAGACTAAAAAGAGGTTAAAAACACAATGAAAATATGTACTGCATATAGAAAGACACAGATACAGGTTCATGTTTCTCACTTGGCATCCTAGTACAATACAAGATAAAGAATAAATGAATAACCTATAATAAAACCGACAATCTTATACAAGGCCCCAATTGGTGGTTACACCCTAATAGGCAACTCGAAAATAATTAGACACCCGTTTCAAAACCATTTATTTGCCCACTTTTACTGTTTTAATGAAAGTGTCAATGACACTGTAGCTCACCACAAAAAAGGACACAAATGAGTGTGAGAAGAAGTCAGTTTTAATTGAGCAACCATCGACGTACATTATAGAAACGAAGAGTATATATGGGAGAACTCTCATTATATACTCTTGATAATTATGTGTAATTTTTTATGTGAAAATAAATGTTTGAGATGTGAAAATCTGAGATGAGGGCGAGTGATGGCGTTACACCTAAATGATCGCCATTTAATGTTTTTATAATATTCAGATTTAGGCACTGCCTAAAAGCGGAGCTCCCGATGTGTAACGTGTAAGATTGAGAGGCTACGCTTATTCCACGTAGCTGCTATATACCACGTGACAATGGTGTTTCCCTGCCCATAACACAACTTTTGTCAAAGGTTAATTGGTTACATGGAAGTGTTTACTTCGTATGAGTTTTTTTAGGCGGTAGCACACGGTTGCCATCTGCATATCGCAATAATAATTTATAAACCAAAATGAATCACAATTTGTGACAGTAGATGGCGCTATACCCGCTTTGATGTTTCTTAGCGATGGCGTTCGAAATAAATAGGTTATGCTGCTTTCCGACATGTTTTGTAAAACTTTACTCCAATATAGACGTTTTATCGGCAGGGTGGAGAGGAAATACCAATTTTGAATTAAAGATATTGTCAATGAAATCTATTATTATAATATGCTATATAATTGCCAAAACCTACCTAATTTACATAATTTTTTTTGCAAATATCAAAACCACCTGCTCTTATTCATTCACATACCAAAAATGAGCAAAATCCGTTGAACCTGAACTGACTAATGGCAATTCCCATTTTTGCCAAAAAATTGCCGTGGCTCGAAAGTACGTCGACTGGCGTGCTCCAAAATAGGACGTTCAATATGGGAGCATAGCAGTAACAACTGTACCCAATTTCCAACATGTAGGTAAAACGGTTCCTGAGTTATCGTTGACCGTAGCCAAATGTTGACGGACTGACGTACGACGGACGACGACCCATGGCAATAGCTCAGCTTGACGATGTCAAGGTGAGCTAAAAACTGATTCATTTATGATAACGTTTTATAAATTAATCGGTAAAATGTATCCACAGCCGACCTTAAAATCCAAATTGCAATCATGCTAGCAACATTCAACATAACATCATATATATATATATATATATATATAATATATAAATGATTAATAAATCAGTATATACATCAAAATATACTGCAAACATGTGTAGACAAGTAAAAGGTGCTCTTTTTCAGAATACCCTGCCCAATATACCAAGACAGAACACACATACCTAGCGATGCTATCGTCTTTTTTGAGCAGTGCAGACAGAACTTTGCTAACTTTTGGTGAGTCAATAACCTGGTTAAGATTTTTCATCGCAGAGACGACATAGAACAGATCTTGTACCGAGCTGTTCTCATTGACAGCATCTGCAAGGGTTTGACCTGCATCTGGTGGCAGCTAGACAGAATAGTAATTAGCATAAGAGTATGCTCAAGATAAAAAGAGGAAAAGACAAAGAAAAATATTTTTACCATTCATTTTTTATTCTAGAAGCGATTATATTTAACCGTTTAACTTGGAAGAAATTCGACAAATTGTCACGGAATTATTAGGGAAATTTAAATGCTTGTTGCAACTCACCATACAACCCTTTAGGGCTTTACTGATGCTCGAAGCAAAATAGACTGAATCCACTTTAAGTGGATCATATTTTGATTGTGCATACTTGCATGCTTCCTAAAAAATTAAACAGAATGTTAAGAATGGTAATTCATTAGGAAACCCTAATTGACAAGTCAATTTTATACTGAAAGATTCGTTAAAATTATAAGTTAAAATTTTCAAGACTTAAATTATACAAGAACCTTTGTATAAAATTGACGTTTGTCAGAGATCAAAACTTGCATTCAATTAATAAATTTTAATGTGAAAAAATATGGTGACAACAAATCTAAACTTGGTTTGGAGAATAGAGTAAAAAGCAAATACTACAGAGCAAAATAATTATAAACCTAAAATATATAACTACCTAGCATCATTAAAACCACATGGAAACTACAAATATAAAATACAAGAGCTTAATTTCATAATGTGTTGTATTTATAGTAGTATGTACTTACTTGATTATTTGGTACAGCAGCACCAAGCAGTGTAAGACCTAATATGGAATAATGAGCTGTTGGTAGGTCTTTGTATGGGCTTGCTGCTAAAAAATGTGCTCTCAGTCTTGCTTGATCATTAGTTGTAAAGAATGTAGTAGGTGTTAATGCTTGCCCAACAACGGCCAATGTGAAAAAGAGGAGAAAACTTGAACCTGAAGACAGTTTGAACAACTGTATTAATTTAGTAATTAGTGACAACAGAGTATCACTAATAGTAGTAATATTAATAATTAACAATAGTTGCCAAAATCACGACTGAAAATGCAATAAAACGTTACTCAATTATGTCAAATAATTCATTTCATTAAGTGACACGTCACGAATTGTAGCACGACAAGCTCAGATCTACTTTAGTCTAATGAAGATTATGAATATGACCCTTGTCAACACATACATCATTACATCATACATGCACTATGGCTGAGAGGGTCTATGTCCCCCGGGGTACTGCCGGAACGTACCCTGGTACTATCTAATATGCCGGACTGGACCTCGCCTACTCCACTAACGAGTCTAGGGAGTGCCTACGCCTACTACTACTACTAGTAACTAGGTCCCTACAAATTGTAGTACAATAAAATAATACTAATACTAATAGTAATACTAATACTAATAGTCTAATACTAATACTAATAGTCTAATACTAATACTAATAGTCTAATACTAATACTAATAGTCTAATACTAATACTAATA